AGGAAATTAGGAAATGATGCTAGGAATAGATAGGATATATATTACATAAACCACTAAACTGCGCCACGAGGCAAGCGCTAACTTTGGATCCTGAAGGAAAATGGAAAAGAGGAAGACTAGAAAGCACAGTGCGTTGAAAATCAGAAGCAGTCATCAAAAGGGCGTAAGTAAGTAGGCTTGATATAGCACCAGCCCCTACACACCGTTTTTTTCTGCCTTCCTTCTGGCATCAGATTTGTGATTTGTTTGACTGTATTGACTGTTGGCCAAGTAAAATCAATGAGAATTCGGGCAAATATCAAGTAGTGTCAATTGAGTCTTTCATCGTAATTTATTTTTTTATACTGATAGTTATGCAGCCTACATAAGAAAAATTAATTTGAATATTTTTCAGCTAAAACCAATAGTTTTCGGAGATCCGAAGAAAAGATCAGCTATCTACTAAAATTACTAAAATAAAGGTTATCATTTTGTGGATTTGGAATAAAATATTTTCAGTCATGCCTTGGATATATTTTCTTTAAATTCACAAACATGAGGCTCTTAGGAAAACGATGTTTCAAACGCCATATTGCATAATCATAATTTGTTTATCATATCGCAGTCCATCTTTAATGAAATCGTGAAGTTTGATAATGATAATAGAACGCGGTTATTGATGTATTGCTGTATAATTGTCTTAGTAGCACGGAATCAAATTAATTCCATAAGATCCTACAGGTAAGAAAACACGACATTAAATGGTTGAAATCTGATTATTCATATCAGTATCATATTGTATGTAAATCGTTTGTAGTTATTGATTGACTGTACTAAATGAGTTAATACCTGATGGCAGATTAGTGTTAGTTCATTTCCGTATGGTTAAATCCTTTCACTAGGTGTGTTTTCATCTGAATATCCCCATAAGTAGAAGACTTAAAAATACGACATTTCACAACTTAGAGTATACCGCTTCTTCAGAGGCAACTTAACTGTTTTATGTTATCAGAAGTTCAAACTGTACAAGGAGCAACTCAGATCAAATAAATGACACAGAAATAGATTTTATCATATCATTTAATTTCAATAGTTAAGATCATGAGACAGCTGAAGCTAGACCACCATGGAAAACCTGGAAGTACTGGACGACCGTTTCGTCCTATTGTGGGACTCCTTAGCAGTGAGCGTTCACGACCCCGCCTCGAGGCATTCAAACCCATGTCATTTAAACTAGCAATCATTTTGAAATGCATTTATGTATATATATGTGTGTATGATTATGTGCGACTGTTGTAATGTGACAGAGTAGTTAAATTAGCATTATGTCTGGCAGGATAAATGTGACTCTTTGTATATACTATATGAGTTAAATAATTAGATTGAAGACAGTATTAGGCAGCATATAAGATGTTTCATATTCTCATTTTTTATGGTTAAATAAATCTTTTTGAATTTTCTGGACATCTTTATTTTAAACGGTCTACATGATGCTTATTTCATTTGACATTAGTTAAACAAACTGATTCAATAATATTATTTGGTCATGGAATTTATTTTGGACAATCATCATCACCTATTTAGACTTACTTGCTAACATGATTTTATATGTGAATACAATTATTACTTGTGCAAGAACACTTTACCAACTTCTAGCGTTCCGAATTTCATTTAATTTTGAGATATTGAACCAAGTTTTTCTGATCTGTGAATGGTCAGGTTGTATTGAGTTATACGTTTTTTACAGAGTAATGTTGACAAGAAACCACTTTTTTGTAACTAGATATTTATTCCCACAATTATTTCAACTGGATATCAAAATTAACTCTTACAAAATATAACAATTTTGCTTTCAGAATACTTGGTTGGTTTATCCTCACGTAAAACGTAAAAGTAAATTAATTTAAATGTTAATTCGGTCATTTGACTACCTTTTAATGTCTAATGAAGTTATATTACTCCTGGACCTGTTATTTTTTTGTTGACATATAGTAATTCATTCACCGTGTCATTGTTTCCACTTATTTAGTATTCAGACCGTTATCTCAATTGAATCTTCTTTGTATTTAATGATAATATGCTATTTTTTGACGATCTGTTACATTTTCAACGATAAACATTCTTATTCACTGAACAGAGTAGAAAATAATAAAATGTCTGGTTGTAGAACATAATGAGATAATTTATCAATGGTTCTGTTATAGGGCTATTTAACAAAACATAATTATACTACTTAATGGTTTCTGGTCTTAAATTATTCATTATAAATTATGTTCTATTAAAACTGTAAAGATATAAACTAACGTCTCTATCGTTATATTGATATCACTATACATTATCATTTTATCGGTATTATTAATATGGATAATTTACCACAAAACTTGAATGGGTATTCACGCACACTGAATAGAATTTTATTTTGAAAAGATCAATTCCTAAAGCACTTGACACCTCTATCACAGTTAGATACAGAGAAAAAAGTTGGATAAAATAATCGATTCCGTGTTTAAGTTTTACTGAATTTGTTTGATCTCTGATAACATACAACATTGATTTATTCTAATAGTCCCATTTTGGTGAATTTTGTACACTATACATTAGAGAGATATTGGTAACGATCTAGATGGTGATTAAAGTAAGACATTTTAGGATCGTCCAATATATCAGCCAACACATTTTAACTTGTATTCTTGTTTATAGGGATTCAGTGTTGCACTTCTGAAGTTTGTTTCTAAAGATTCGAATTTCAGTGTAAACAGTTTTCTCATTATCTGTGGGCGATAGGACAATAAAAATCATTGCTACCAAACCTTACTAAAACAAGTTTATTTTTGCTAAAATTCAGTTTTTAATGTAACTACTAAGTCAAATATTAAGACGATGAAAATGATCTGAATAAGATAAAGTGAACTAGTGAAAATTACCGACTACATATATGGATAAACAACGGTTTAAAAACTCGCGGATCAAAGCCGATGAATCTGAGTGCATGTCTCTAGATTGATAGTTTCTGACTTGAAAATATGAAAAAATAACTGTAATTTCAAGAATATTTTATGTATTCGATTAGAGTTATAATTATTCTTTGTAGTGAGTTGCCTTTCAGCAAAGTGATTCTTGAATATACCTAAGTGCTTTATCTAATTAACATTGTTTGTTGCATTTATTTACACAAATGTATGAACTAAGAATATTCATATTGTCAAAAATATTCACGGAAAATTAGACCCGAGCAGATGCATCTAGGTATATTTTCATGTTCTAAGTTTCGTTAAATTTAACCAGATTTCACAAGTAAGTCTTCATGCATTTCTGTTGGTGTTAATATGAAACACAGGAAACTCGTTTTTCATCATATTGTTGTATTCAGTGCTGAATAGATCACATTATGATAGATTCTGCCTCACATAATTCTCAATGAAATTTAGGCTTCTTTGAATTAATCATCGATAACTAAAATAAGGAACAGCATTAGTTAATGAGAGCTTTCGAATTCGTGTGAATACTAGGTTTTGAAGCATAGTTCTATTAACAAATAAGAACTTTCACCTAAATTTGAAAGAAATGTTTCACGGTATTTGGGTGCTGAATTAATATACCCTTTTACTTCTACCAGGTATTTCGATGAAATTAGTCAATAAAGTGATAAATAATTATTAATAACTGAATTGTATTTATATTAGTTTATTCTAAGACGAAAATTCTTTCACACTGACATTTTGAAAACACCCTAACTTAAATGTAAGTTTTTTTTACATGGTATATAGGTAGTACGTAATTTATTTGATAAAAAAGTACTCTCAACATTAGAAGACAGACAAGTTGCGTACAATGATTAGTGAAGGAATTAATTTCACTGGTATATTTCTCCTAAACATGACAACATACAGTTAATTGTTTTTCTATTTTCAAACTGTTATTCATCAGAAAAACAAATTTGTTCACCTGAATAATGTAGCAAGTTTCTATTCTTCATGTTACCAACATGAAATGGTAACGTGGATGTAACGTTATTTACACAAAGAAATTAATAGACAATAACAAATTAAGCGTGACTATTGTATTTTTAGTTTTCTTTTTAATCGTTGGTAATTAACTAAAACAACTCCTAAGCAGGAAATATTTTTTCTGTCTATCGTTTTAAGAATTTCATTAAATTTATCTGAATGAGTCAGCTTTCTCAAGTAAAGAAGCAAATAGAGTTCAGCCTAAATATATTTGTGTATTCATATATTCACAATGTCATTTGAGCGTACAGTCATGAAACATTTCCCTTAAAGTGATCCATGATTAATCATCAGATTCTTTCCTTTAGCTATAGATGGCAAATTTATTTAGTTTACTTCAATGTTTTCTTGAAATTTAGCTTCTTTTTTTAAATTGAACAAATTTTAACTATGTAAAGAATTATCAGAAGAAATTTCCAGTAAAGTCACAGGACTTTGTATGGATGGTTATAGTGGTAATTTCTTTAAAAAATGCTTTTTAAATCCTATTCATTGCATCTATAGTTAGTTTTGGTATGAAAAAACAAATCATGCAACTATACTAAAACTCAGAGCTAAGTCAATATGTCATTTGAGAAATAATGCAATTGAAATCCTATCCACTTCTTCATAATCAAGGGCTATTGCCCGTTTACGAGGTTGAAGCAAAGTATTTAACTCTCTGGGGATAATCCCAGTAAAATTGTTCATACCCTGTGCCTTAAGAAACGATATGATACACATTTTAGAATTTAATAAACGACATATTATTCAGTTCCAAAAATGTTAAGTATTTCTCTAATGAAGAAAACCATGATACATTGTTTATTTTTCAATTCAATGAAGTAACAATATGTTCCTACCACACACTTTATCTACAACAAGTCATAGTTGAGATCACTCTTCATCGCTATCTCTTTCTACACTACTTACAAGTAGCGTTGTGCACAAAAGAAACTAGAATCTGTAACGTATTTTTGAAATTCAACCTAAGAAATATAAAGAAAAGCCATCTTATAAAACAAAACAAAATTTTATAAATTCTCATTTATTCACAATTGATGCATTCATGATGATTTCATTACTTCAAAACTGTTTTCTGTACAAATCATATATATTATATTAGCAACCACTTACAAGAGGGCAATTAAAAGGGCGTACATGGCAAAATGTAACTCGGTGCTTAGTTGAACTAAAAAAATGTTTCGTGTAATAATACAAGGAGATTACTGAATTTTTTCCAGTCCGAATACTTGTATAACTATTTATGCTTTTATTCAAAGTGTATGGGGTATAGACTCTAATCAACATCACAATTTGTTGTGAAAATTAAATGCAATTTCTTTAATTTGTCAGTGGTTGAACACTGAGTTTCCATTTTATATTATAGTATATCTGGATGTTAATTTTTTTTCGGCTGAATTGCTTTTGATTTATATTTTGGTATTTTCCAATTTATTACCGGTTATGAACAATCCATAGGCAGTACTGATCAGTGTAGAAATTAATCGTTTACAGTGAACATTGGATATAAAGAAAGACTTGTCAGTAGCTTGCTGAAATTTAGCAAAAGTTACTCATATTATTTGTATTATATATTTGTTTGATGCAGAAAATTATGTTAACTGTGTACCAGGTAATACATTTGAACGCAGCCCATTACTAATTCTAAATGCACTAGGACTCCGGAGTTAATAAAATCATAATTAAAGATATGTATTTTGGAAATGTATCATCTCTTCAAGTTCATGTATCTATTTGCTGTATGTATGTATTTGTGATTATATATATATATATTTCTATTTCAAGTTATATATTTTTTGAAATTAAGGACGACTATTTTGATTATTTATATCTCAGTCTAATAGATTTGCGCAATCTGCTCGATCCATGGCGGTGAATATAGCTTTTAATTCATTCACACTTGGTTCATTACGATTACAAGCTTCCCACATATTTAGAAGAACTGTTGTTGGACTTGGCTGTGATTTCAAATAAAATATATACCTAAAAAAATATTTTTTTAAACAAGAATCTGCAGTAAATTTTGAGGTTCAATGTTAAAAATATTTATTGATCAAGAAGTTTAACATGAACGTTGCATTATTGAGATGAGTTTTACTCAAAGTTCACCTTGAATACTAAGTGAATTGAAAAAGAATTACACAAAGGATTTCACTTCAACTATTTATTCACTAAGCCCTGGGTCTTAATCATTATTTAAAGGATTTTAAATTAACTCCCAGTGAGATGTTTTGTACTTTGCCGATAAGAATAGGGACATATTCTACAGAACTCAGTGTAGATAATTATTTATATTCTGTCCTTTAATGTGGATGGTATAAAATTCATATCACTGAAAAATGTTTTGTTAAAAATTTGCTTGAATGTATTTTTAAGCTTACTGCTGGTTTCTAAACATGACTTGGAGACAATAATCCACTGCGTTTTCGAATTATGCCTCATAACTTAAGCCCGTATTTAAGGGAAATTTTACGCTACGATTAAAATGAAGAACAACAATCTAAATAGGTTAAATTATAATTTTTTTTACAGCGTTTAGGAAATAGCACACCTTAAAAACATGCATGGTAAAAACGGTGAAGCTTTTTTGTGTTATCTTGCAGAAAATCTATATATATATATGTTTTTAATGTGTGTGTTAAATAATTGGCTTACAGTATATTTATATTTCCCGAATCGTAAGCTTTCATTTACCTCAATAACTGTAAAGGATCGAAAGAATATGCATGGATCAGTGAGCGTATGCTTATCCTAAAGCTATACGGCGACCATCAAAATCATTGTTGTGAAACACACCCGTCATTACTGAGCATAGAAAGAACCAGGATTCATAAGAATATAGGCATGTAAATAATTTATCTCACACAGGTTCACGTCAATAATTTTAAGACACTCTGGTTGCATTATGATTTACCTTACTATCAGCCTTTCACAACCACTGATATGTTTTAAGCCGAGTTCGAACCTTTGATCTGCTGATTGAAAGTCGACTACCTTAACCACTAAGCAGAAATTGAGTCTCACGACTGATTATTTGTTAGTCATTTACTACTGTCATGTTTTTTTGACTATCGTGATTTATGAGTTCACCTAGTTTATCAATGTCCGTCTATAAAATTAAAGTCCCATCTCAATACATTACGAGGATAATGTGAACTTCATTTTTGGTAAACAGAATCAGATATTACTGTATTGAGACATAAACATAATGATATCGTTGAGGTGTGCTCTTTAGGGGTGTTGAAAGACCAAATGATAAACTAACCTCTGCATTCCCATATGTTTTGCTAGTTTTTGCCATTCACCTTCTTTCGTATCCAATAGTTTACACAGTCTTTGAGTAGTCACTACAGGAAGTCTAATTTTAGGAAAAAGGTAAGAGAAAAAAGAAATACATTGAAACTAAATAATAATTGTGATGTTTTAAGCAAAATAAACAGTAACACATATGCCTAAAAATGGATTTGATCATAAACACTTATAAATGTGTTTATTGCTCAGAGAACATTCCATTTACAGTGGTCACGCAAATATCCATTGCTGGATACCTAAAAATATAATTTCTGTACATATACTAAAATGTGTAGATACACTAGGGATAAATCATATGTTTACCTAGTACCCATAAGTATAAGAAATAGGAATGGGTACTACTTAAAATACATTAAATATATGCTTCTTCTATCTCTCCTTCTCTCCTTTGCTTTCATCCTATCAATCTGTATGTCATTTGACTCCACATGATGTAATATATTATAACGGTGCGTATGTGGTTTTCTCTTTTTTAGTTTATTTTATTTATCAAATATTATCATCAGAAATACTTTAAAATATTATATATATATATAACCTCCTGCTGAGCAGACAAAACAAGCAATCCAAATGTCCATACTTTTGTAGTTATGTTCATGCTTTCATTTCATGGTGCAAACGTTGCTCTTTATAATGGTGTGTACAAATGTCTCAGACAATGAATCTTGATGAAACATAGTTTAAAAGTGTCTTTATTGATTTTAACTAATTTAAATTACTGTATAATCCGTTCATAATGGCTCACAATTCTGTTATGCTCGTGAATTAAATTAGACTAACGGTAAGCGGTTTGTTATTTAATTACTTGATTTACCAAGTGATCTACTTTGAGAAAAATATAAAGTGGTCTGATGGCATATACATATTGTATAATATATCGAAAGCTTTATAAAGTTCCATAAAAGGTTATCTCATATTGTCTAAAGGAGAGTGAATAAACAAAGGTAAATCAGACCTTACCGATCATGATTGATTAATCGTGATTTGAATATAACATCGTTTTAAAAGAATCCCTCAGTCTCATTTTAAAGCACAGTAAGAGGAAGCGCCCAATAAATTCAAAAAATTTAACTCATGAGTTTAAGCAAGAGACTGACACCTCATATTTGCGTAGCTTTTCAAAATATCAAACTGAATCTTTCTATCCAAGACCCATATTATCGACAGATTAGCTACTCCTTCATATAGTGATTAGTCAATCGGCGGGTCAATTAGAAAGTATTAACAGAATATTAAGAGATGAATTTTAGTACATTTGAAAGCTGAATTACTTTTATATCTCATTAGCATTTACGATAATATGACTAAAGATAAAGTTGCAACTTCTAACGTTCCACTCTAAGTTCCACTGAATGTTGAAGTATAAGTTAACTACCAAATGTACTGGTAGACTTACAGCTGAGCCGTAGGGTTTTCAGGTAGTAAACATGTCAGTGGTAGTTTGATTATTTATGATTACTGCTTTCAAATATATCCGCCTTGTACATCTATGTTTCCATTGGAGTTTATCAACTATTTCAAATTTATAGATGTTAACATGAGGCACGTAGAGGATATCCTAATCAAAAATACTATCTACTACTACCGGAAACTAAGTTTCAAGCGCAGTTATATCATAGTGCTACTCAACACAGTATAGAATTCATGTTTATACTGGTAGATAAACACAATCTACTTGATGAAGATTAAGCTTCGTCAGTAATTGTGAAACTCATTATAATATTTTATTTCAATATTGTTGGAGAAAATAGACAACACGCTATTGAGACATAGTTGGCTTCTTAACATGAATGAGTTATTTGCCGAAAAAGGCAATAGACAGAAGAATAAAAACTGCGTTGAAACAAAACTTACACTCAACTAGATGTGTCTCAATTTACAATGCTATATGCTCACTAATCCGACGTACTTTAGATACTTTCTCTGCTTATGTCCACTGTTTACCACTTCGCATGAACTTTTGAAAACAAGTATACAGGAAAGATTGGTGCAATAACATTTATTTGGTTTTAAGTGCATGTTACGAGAAACCAAGAGTCTAATGGAGACTGGAGATCATTTAGGTAAAGTTCAGTATTTCATTAAGATAAACAAATAAAGATCATTGATCTTAAACCCCTTGATGGTGGCTCACATACTCAAACGCTTTGAACCTGATATTTACAAACGGAAAGATAGCATGGTTAGCATTTCACTACTCTGTCAGTCTAATATGTTTATATTCTTAATTACCAAATTTTATAATTGACTTATTTCCACTGTATAGGGTAGTGCGATTTCTTTGTTGACTACTAACACATTTACCATACTGTTTTTTGATTTTTTTCACAGGACTACACAATTCATTTAAACGGATAATGAGAAAACATGAACACATTCATGGGATATTAACCTAATAACCATTGATCATAAACGGTTGTTATTTAGATATACTGTAGTCGAAGACAGTGTTGTACACCTGCTTTTTTCTGCATTGTTCGACTTCATCAACGAAATAGTATTTGAAAGTAAATAAAAACATTTTTTTAAAACACCTGATCATCACATCACTGGCTTCGTAGTTAGAAAAGGATATTCAAAATACTTAAGACGAGTATATTTTTACACAGGTAGGCAAACAGAAAATAAGTCAATCGTTATCAAAATACCTGCTTTTATCTACAGTTTTAATAATCTATGCATTATTTTTGAGTTGACGTTGCTTGTCTTAGAAGTTCTATGCTTTATAATTCAGTTTAAAAATGAAGATATTATTGTGCAAAGTATATATATATATATATATATATATATATATATATATATATATATATATATATATATATATATATACATGATTTGTTTATTCTAGGATTTTAATATGACAACTAGTTCACCTTATGTTTTGATGGCTCGTCACTGTTGCATTCTTTTGATTCAAACAAAGTCAGTAACGCTTTGTTTAAGCAGTTGTAGTTAAAATAGTTGTTTTTCCTGTTTATTGGACTTCAGTGAAAAGTTATGTTTTTTTAATGATTTCACGGTAAATTTTGATTAGGTTTAAAATTTGCTCGATTACGGAATTTCCATTTATTCGCTTTTATTGTCGTAATAGGTGACAAATACAGATGGTAAATGGACCCGATGCTTAAAATTGTTATATTTTTACTTCAGATAATCGTAAATCTCATCAAGTTATTTCATAAACAATCATCATCCAAACATTACCCTTTCTGGTTCTCCAAATGAATTACATAAATCAGTCAAAATCTCAATCTTGGAGCATCTAGTCAATTCCGAAGACTCTGCTTCACAAGAAACCTCTCTCAAACCAATCAACATTTTAATTTAGGTGTAATAAATGTGATATATAACAATAATATCAAAACTTTGATTCCATACATCGTATGTTGTTTCTTATGTTAAGATGAATTCTCATGCGTATTCATCCTCTTTGACATACTATATTATTAAAAATTGAATTTTGAATATTAAGTCAAATATGATATTTTGTTAAGTGAGTAACTAAAAAGATACATAAACAAATAAGCCTCACATGAACATAGTCACAGATATTTCTGGCATTCTTTAAGTAAAAAATAGAAATGAAATTGAAGTAATAAATAGAGTGGTATGGACATTTTCGGACATCTCAGTTTTAGTTTATTATTACACAGTAGATTAATTTATTAGGTCTTTAAATTTACAGTTGTTTGTTTGTTTTACGCTCATTCACACTAAATATTCAGTGTACACTAAGAGAATTTCAGAGATATTAGTAAACAAGTAATAGAATTTCGTAACCAATTTATTTAAATGTAATTTAATTACTAAAACTATTGCTGACATACTAATCAATATAAAAAACTTTGGGAAAAATTCATTCGTTATTATGAACTAATCCCTAGAGTAATTATTATTTGTAGGTTTGATAAAACTCAATCAACTAACTGGACTACCATACACTTTATATTCAGTCTATTACATCACTATTTGTTTCTAATGACTTTCAGGTAAATCAAATTGCTCTGTTGAAAATAGTTTCTAAAGTGGCATCCATTTTCTTTGTAACACTTTGTTTCAGTCACTTCTTTCATTCGAAACAAAACTGTATTTGATCCAAAAGTCGGTATTTAAACACAATATTAAACTTTTGCAATATTCAGTAGTCGATTGATATATTTGTTTTAAACTAGGTATGTTTTTTGTATTGTGCACTTATACGTTTTAGGGAGAATGACCGTTAAACTTTTGGAGTGCCGAAAAAACTAGTGTTCTGATATTTTCATTTAAAAAAGGGTAAATTCTATTGTTCGTGCTAATCAATTCCTTTGTATATTATTCTTCCCCTATTACGAATTTCAAGTACAATTTGTTTAGTTGTGCTCATCGAGTTCTACCTAACTCAAATTGGTCATCTCTGGGAGTTTCTAATTAGAGTATTTCCGAATATCATGTAAAAACAAGCTTATAATTCTACTGTCAAGCCAAACGAATACTATTTTGATAATCGGATGAAGATATTTAGGAAAATGTGTAAAAATAGCTTTCATTTAGTTTCTTATAAAAGAAATATTCTCAAACTTTGAAATCAACTAGAGTAAATATGAATTTACATAAAATAATACTCAAAGTAAAATGCAAAACTATGTTATGACGAAAATTTTGGTGAAAAAGATATTTTCAAAATTGATAATAATGAGTTTAAATAAAGCAAGCTGCCTTCATTTAACTTACCGATACGAACTAAGGAAGCAGCGAATATCTGAACTACGGTCTTCGGAATTGAAGAATCTTGTTCTTGAATGTTCGGTTTTCAGCTGGGAAAAATTTGAATGGTTTAAAGTTATTCTTTGTTCAAGAAAGTTAGTAGTAAAATCTGTAAGGATTTATTCAGATCAAATGTTCGGTAGTGTACAATCAACAGACAGTTTGTATGTTCTTCTCAAATATTATAATAATTACTCTGGCTATGTTTTCTGTCTTAACTTGGCATCGTAATGCTTCCAACGTAAAAACATTTACGTAGATTTAGTTTAAACATCTGAACGATACATCACTCATTCCTGGTTGAAAATCCCCAAAACGTGTGTCTTTAAACTTGTCGCACAAAAAATCATATTGGGTATAAGTCTGCTTTGGAATGAAACAAAATCTAATTAAATAAATGCAACAACTACAGTTCATTAATACGCAAATAGAACTAGGTCTGGCAAAATTAATATTAAGTAGTGTCCATGTGATGAGGCCCTTAGGGAAAGAAGTACTTATTCAATCATGTTTAGTGTTTAGCAGTAACTTTATGTAAGGCTCTTTATGTACTCAAAATGGTTATCTTGACAAAGATAAAATGACAAATACAAAAATCTTTTGAATTATTTATTTTACCAAGCAAATAAGAGTGTAGAACATTTCAAACAAGCAATTAGCTCACAGTACTCTTCAACGAAAAAGAGAGTATTCTCTTAACATTAAGATCACAGTTCTTCATTTTGTCATCACATGCATTATTATGTATAAAGGTAACAATGCTATTTGATTTTTCCGTCTGAAATGAAGATATCTTTTAATGGTTTACTATATATTTAAAGTAAAGTGATTTTTTGCAGCTGAATTCTACCATATAAAGTCTTATAGTACCAAAAATTCCTGTAGTTTGTGAACAGCATCATATGCATACTTATGTTGAACAAATTTAAAACAAACTTTTCTAAAAGTCAGAAAAATTATCACATTTACCTCAAATCTTTGGTTTGAAATTTTTAAAATTTGCTCTTGTAATTGGGAATTCTCTTGATAAACTTTAATTTTGCACGACACATTTAGCTGTCGCGAATCCAAATGTTCTAGTGAAAATGCACAATGCAGCGTAGACATTTGTGTACCATTCCAGATATGCCGGAATGGTATTTCCTGTATGCAGAAAGTTTAGTAAACAATAATTAGGTGCTTATTAGTTGAAATAATTTATATGAGTGATTGTTTAGAAAATTAACCAAATAGAGATGTCAATAATTAAATGATACGGTAGTGTTTCAAGATGATAGGTTTGTATGAATTTTCTTAACTTTTAGATAGTCTTAATCGGAAACTGACATCAACTGGAGTACCACCGCAGACCATGTAGCATCAGATATCTACTGAACTCCAGAATAGAATTCCTCAGAATCTATACATTGACTGAGCTTGCAAACTGAATCATTGAATCCCAAATGATTCACATCACATTGTGACGAAAATGATTTATGCGTATCAAAGTATATCCCATTGTTACCATGTCTAGGTAACTCATTAACTTCACCATACATCATAAACTATAAGTCTAGCCCTTGAAGCTATTCAAGAGCTTTTTTGCCTTTTGTATGTTGTGTCTTAGCTGTTTCCCTCGACAGCAAGTTCAACAATATAACTAAAAGTTTCATTCCAAGTTTTACTTGGTGTAGATTAAAGAATAATTAATCTGATAGGAATACGACTAAAAAATATTCTGTATTGTTTCCTTTGTACTATTCAAACTTGTGTTAATTTAATTTGGCCATTTAATTACTCTGAAGATGTGGCTTACATTAAGTCACGAAACATCAGAAATATAATTTTTCTACTCATTGGGATATAATGAAAATATATTTACTATAAGCATTATTGGTTAATGGTGTACTTATTGTCTTAAATGTGAATAATCCTGTCAAAAAGTCTGGAGTTACTCGTTATCTATTTATCATTATATGAATCCAAATTATACTTGTTTCTGAGTCACTATTTACAGGTCAAATAATGCCCGTACCTATTCAATGAATGCTTCAAAAGTCAATCAGGATCTTCATATTATCAATGTAGTATTCATATATATATATATATAGTGGTATGAATATGCAGATCTATACTCTAACAGGATGACAGTGTAGTGGTAGTGAGAAAAGTACTATTAAAAAGCAATTAGCAACATCACAGGTGTAAAGAAAATGTGTACAAATTAAATATTGATACTAATATGACCAATCCAAGAAATCAAGATGACAAACACAACGGATATGTACGGATAGTGTACACATAGGCACAAAATAAAAAGTGTATAGCAATCCAAGGAAAATAATTATAAACAATGCCATCTCTGACATTTTTATCATAAATAAAAATCATCAATTAAAACATTGATGAATATATATTCGTAAAGTATGTACTACTATAATGAATCATTTTATTATTTTGCCTAGTTTGTAAATCCATGACTAATTAACACTTCATCTACTCACTCTCTTAAGATTTCTGTAGCCTGTTTTTAAAATTACAGTCTACCGTTTACGTTTGGTGAATGTAAGAAGAATAATCTGTGTATATATACAAACATTGTCTACAATTTCCGAAAGGATAATATTCCAAACTTGATATATGTTAACTATTAATTAGTTCAGGATATTTATGTCATGAAGCAACTCTTGTAAACAAAAATCAAGAATTGTCAATTATGTAACGTATCAAACTAGCTAAATTGGGACAATATCTATCCACTCTAAGCATAGAATGTGATACCTAAGATTAGACGGGCATGAAGATATCGTCTGATGAATTTTTTCAGACAGTATTCTATTAGTTTCAAATGATGATTCAGAAATGCACATCTCATATGAGCAAACTTTTAAATTAAAGCACTTTGTAATTTTGAAGAAATGTAAAAATGTATAATGTTCACGAATGGAATAACTAAAAGTCGAAATCCAAAGCACACTAAAGGCTGGAGCCCACCAAAATGTAGACATGCTACAAACAAGTCTCCCATTTTCATTTAGTTTCATTTAACGAAAAGAGATTTTCAAAAAACCATCAGAGATATGTTTGTGTGTACAAACCTGTGATTTAGTTTGTAATCGGCTTCTCCATCCAGGAGAAATATCTTCAATGCAAAAACACAACCCTCCACCATTGTCTTTGAATAATAATGACTTTGGATCATCTAACAGTCTTCCTTCTAATCGTTTCTCGACGTATAAAACATGTTCCAATGCATCTTTAGTATCTGTTAGCACATAAACTCTTATATTGTAGTCAATTGTTGGTGTTAGTGGTCCGGAAAATGCAGCTAATTTCAAAATTTTTGTTGCAGGCTGGATGTCAGATAATAATCCACTATCCTGTGTACCATCTGTCATAATATTGTTGTTATTAGTAAAGTTTGTGATATTTATATTTTGCAAACCATTCGTATTTACGCTATTGGAAAAATTTTGGAATTCTGTATGATTTAAATTTTTATGATTTGATATTAAACGATTACCGCCCAGAAGTTTCTGTGTTTCACCAACTAGACAATAACGCCGTGCAACATCAGTCATCAGATGTGCCATATTTGAATCAAGGTGACAAATGAATTTAGTAACATTTGATTCATAACCAATTATTCCCACGTCCTATAAGAAGAGAGAGTTTAAAAACACAGATTTATTACCTATTTATCTCGAAAAAATCGTACACATAATTAGCTACTGGATAACTCGTTCAACACTATCCTTGGATAAGGGACGAAATATGAATACTACACAGCTTCGCAGGACTTACCAATATGTTTCTAACAGTATTAAAACCAACCGCTTAGCTGGATTATTGAGTATTTTTGTTATATATATATTTCAAATTAAGCATGTATATTTATAAACTTATTCTGAAATACATACTGTATTTTCTTTACTTGTCATCAATATATGCTGAATCTAGTTCTATGACAGATTAAGAGATAGTGAAACATATAATATCTGAGAAATAATGTGAAGGGAGGCGTAATTGGCCATTCGAGTAATATATTTCCTGCAAAAATGGTAGAGAAAAAACGGTGGGTTATCATATGTTGTGAGCGCTCAATGAGTTTCAAGTTGCTTATGTTTCGGGGAATTTAAAACTATGACTAACATTCAAATTTGTTATTATATTTCGTTGTTTAGTCACCGACAATTCTACTGTCAAGAACAGATCAAATTACTCTATATTTCTGAATACATTTATATGCATATACATACTATACTACTTAAATGAATTAATGATTAAAATGTCAGTTGCTTATTCTTGTCAAAGTAGTTTTGTTATCATTTATATGATGTAGATAGACAGTTGAAAAGAAATATGTGGAGGTAGAAAGCTAAAAAAGAACACGGTATATTCAAGTTTTCTTCTTGCAAGGGTGGTGAAATAATCTCATTGTAGAGTGAATATAAAAAAGAAAGAGAATGGAGTTAGAAGTTGGAAGTACATATTAATTTTACTACTATTTTTCTTCTCATTATAAAAACAGCAATAACGATGACTATTGTAATATCAAGTCAAAAGAATGTACAAGTTATTTGTAGGGTAATGTTTTCTTTTACAAAAAGAGAAGATATTTTCATCTCTTTGTTTTTAAATGTTATATATACATACATATATAGTTTCGTTTTATTATTTGTAATAATTACAAGAAAAAGAAATATTATTTTCTTTGATAAGTAAAATTTACATATTGTATTCCTTGCACTGGTAAAAATACTTAAAACATTCTGGTACACTTTCAGTTTATCATATGTAAAAGTTAATTTGAATTTTATACAGAAGTTGAATAGAATATTATCAACGTTATGTAAATTCAACATAAGCTGTTTATTAAAAATGATTTGACCTATACTCTACCAATCTGAATAAAAGATAATTGATTTACATGCCAACATATCTTGACTACACCAATAATAGAACTCGATGATTTAAATAACAAAGGATTTAAACTCCTGTACGATTATAATTATATGATTATCATCAGTATAGGATTGTGGAGATTATTAAGTTTTTGATTGAGATCATGAACCGATTGATGTTGGACCATTATTGAAAACCTGGAAGCCCTGGATGGCCGTTTCGTCCTGATGTGGGGCTCCTCAGCAGTGCTCGTCCAAGATCCGTATCCATGATTCCGCACGAAACTGAGCTTAGGAACCTCAATTTCTTAATGAGTCTTGTTTTAAGGTAGGATGGAAAAACCATTCAGTGCTTCGAGGTTCCGATGGTTTTGTAACTAACTATTGTTCTTGATCCTACTGGCTTCTCAAATCTACGGAATTTTCAAAGAGCAACTTAACTTTATCTGATTTTGTCTGTTTGCTAATCCATTTTTTTCTTTGCATTTAAATGGATTCCGTTTCTCTGTCAAAATAGGGGAAGTATGCTTTTGCACCCATTAAGTCATGTTATTTCTATGAGTATATAAATGATGTATAAAACTAACTTTGAATAAATTGATAACTCATGAGTTTGGAAAGTTAACTATTAAAATTGCTGGAAAAAGTGTGAAATAGCGCTTACCTGCCATATAAAATTATCAAAATTTGTATGTAATGCACTGTAGTTTGATTTATATCCGTTTATATTTGATGTATTCAGATTGTTAGGTGAACGATTCAAATTCGGTCCTAATGCCAAGACTCGTATTAACCAATTACTTTGATTTAGTTCAGCACAATGAGGAAACGATAAAAGTACAGGTTTTAACAGATTTAAGCCCACTGGTCCGAATTGAATAACGGGACTTAGTAATGTCTGATGATCTGTACAAAAAATTTTAAGAAGTATAAGTTCACTTTTAACCACAGAAGTTGAATAGTTTAAGCCAAATTTCTGTTTCATATCATTAACAAAAAGTTGATTTCATAAATTTACTGGATTTTGTAATAAATTCATTCAAAACGTAAAATATGATTAAAGAGTAAACATTGATCGACCTCATCTTCCAATTGTTAAGACGACTACATTCAGTAAAAAATATTTTCAGCAGTTTCAATCAAACATCAACTACCAGAAAATACAAACCCTCACAAAAATGATGCTGTTATGTAATATCATAATAAATAAACCAGAATGAATTCCTACAGTCTTTCTGAACATTCTGTAATTACAACTGAAAGACAGTGTGTTGACCTTAAAACGGCTGTTTAATAGTTTGTTAATGAGATAAAATGTGTCATGCACAAGATTGCATTTCATTTAAAATGTGACCGTGGTTATGATTACCGTAGAGGTGATAATCTTTACCACACTTTGTAAGTACTATGTAAACTGGTACCTAAATATCCTGGAAAATTTAAAATTCTATGACATAATATAGTGCAATGTGTGTATAATTTCGAGTAATTTAACAAAGTGGTTCTAACAAAGGGATTCAAACAACTGAAGAGTTGTAATACATATCCGATGTAAATTCGTTTACCTCGAATATTTATCTATTTTAACTTGGTAAATTCAGAACATATATTTTAGCTACTGCAATATAGTGACTCAGTTTAAACAGAACTAGTTTTAACATTTTAACCGAAAACTAGACAAAGTGCAATTTAATCACTAACAGATAGTGAGAAAAGAATTTCTTCTAAAGTACTTTGTTTTATTTCTGTGTATATTTTTTCACTGCTACAGCTTTACTCACTATCTTCTATGGTATTATTACGGAAGTCGAATAAATTCTTCTCCCAGTGCCTCACCACAATAATTTAAAACGTTCTTCAAGATTAAAAAAATAATCCTCTTTATTAAAAAATGAGTTAATGTAATACAAGTTACACTTGAGTAATAGGGGTTGAACACTATATGACGCACTGAACTAATTTAGCTTCCAACTCGTTTTTATTATCTATTTAATTAAATGAAAAATAAATGAATTTTTGTTTATTTTACATCGTTTCTTTCAGTTTATTTTAATTACTACTAATACTAGTACTTCTTGAGATTATCGAAATGAGGATTCGCCTAAGTTAATCAACTTTATCAGACATAAAAAAGTAATGTCTACAATCTATGAAATTAAATTATGGACACATGTTTACACAACTAATTCACAAAAATATATTTATTTATATGTATATAAATACATGAATTCTCTATCTTACACCAATACAAACTCGTCTGTACACGTATTGAAGTTACATATAAGTATACTGACCGCATATTGAATATGATACTGATTATAACAAACGTAACAACATGGGCTTTGTCACATTTTATTTATTTACCATCTGCTTTATATATTTATGGAGACTTGAAAGACAAATAGATGTGTGCCTAGGAGGATTACTTTTAGTTTGAGATGTCTATATAGAAGAAATAGGCTTTAGGTCATTTCACAGCATGTAGTTGAGTTTATTTTTTAATATTAAAATTCGCTTATTTCAATTAATTGTTCCATTGGGGCTTTATTACTGTTTTATAGGTGGGTTGAAATTGCAGTAAGAAAAGAATAAAAGAATAAAGGTTCAGTAGTCGTTATGACTATTAACTAACGGAAGTTATTATTCTCACTACTACTTTATTTGATTTATCTAGTTTAATGAGATTAGAAATCATTGATTAAATAAAAATAATACAAAGTGAGGAATAAAACATTCCCTTGGAAATGATCTTCCTAATCGACTTGCAGTTCCAGTAACTATCAAAAAAAGGTAGCTTTTAATAAGAATACCTGCAAAATACATAATAACTGTTTTTAATAAATATGAAACAGGTTTCAAATTATTGGCCTAGAATATATGAATTATTTTCAAAGCTAATTCTTGGTAAGTAAAAACAACCAGTCGAAGAGATTTAGACTACATACATATTAGTTCAATATCTTAAAAAGGGAGTATTTTACTATATGATTAATCAGCTTTAAAACACTAAATTGATCCGAAAAGTATGTAAAGCTTTAGTATTGAGACCAGAACCTACATTTTTAAACTAAGTAGAACTATTTAAATCACAATAAAGAACAAGCACTAATCAATTAACCATATTTTCATACATAAATTTTTAATACCATAATTATCCCTTAAAACTTATAATTACTACAATCCTAAATATCAGTTTTTGACTATTGATTGTATGGCAATACAAGTGCAAATAACACATAAGTTCATCAGGATACAATAACTGAAGAGACTGTTGACGTTGATAGTCAAAATGTTTCTTTAGATGTCTATTTTACTGCTAGCTGAAACTAGATGAATGTATTCGAATTCAATAGGCCTTCGGTGAAGATAAAGCAGTGTGATAATTAGTGACCGGATGATACCATTATATCGAATATTTCAGATTTAAAGCTTACTATTAGTTAAACCATAGTCGTTGCAACTAAACAAATGAGAATTTTATAATTCTAGTAATTGCTACTTTCGTTTATAGGCAATTAGTAAAGAGGATAATATTACGGTACTACAAAATAAAGATCAAAACCTGTAAGCACTTAACAAATACAACAGAATGCAAGTAGGTCTACGTATTTTTAAGCATAGTAAGCGTAGTTTGGTTTACTCCCACCTATTTATTATTTGTTTTTATGATAGTTGAGTGATTTGAATGTCATTTCTAATTATAACATAATCTAGACCAGTTTTTCTTTTTTGGAAAAGATTGATAACTGAACTATTTTTGTAACCAGTTTAATAGTTTATATTGTTATAGATATAAAATAGCAGAACTTATCCATGCAAAAAAACACGGATAGGTGTCAACTTAATTGGAATGATAATATAGTAATGTAATCTAAAGCAAATGTATTACAAATCATATCGAATGATTTTTTACACGTATCTGACAACTAGTCTGTGGTATTCAATTCTATCTTCTGATATACTATGTCAGTATTATGTTAATTTTATCATAAGTTTGAATATAGTGTTGATACAAAACATTTTAGACCTCAACAAACGGTGTAAATTGTTTAGTGGAGTTGCTGCTTGTTCTGAACCGTAAAAATGATACTTTAAATAATAATTACACGTACAAAATTTAACTATAGGTAAATTCTTTCTCAGATGTTAAAAAAGAACCATTTTTTATTCTCCTCGTTATTTAAATATGCTCCAATGACTACTCACAAAATGTATTAATTACGACAGTTTTCTAAATAATATCAATGAATGACCATTTTATTTTTGCAAACAAACATTTCAACTAAAAACGATATTCATACACTTAATAGCAGCTACAATTTTTCGTTTGTAACAACTACCTATCAAGTTATGGTCAGCTAGTTCAGTGGCTTAGTAGTGAACTATAGTTGATATGAACGCATATAATTTGATGTAAATAGGATCCTCCATTGTTTATGACATCAATAGAGGAACTTAGACTTCAGTTTTTAGAGTTTTAGATGAGATATTTGTATATTTCATCTTCAATAACTCATATCTTAATCTAAGCTTCATCACCATCGAATGTTATTTGTCATTCGTAATGTCCACCTATATTATAATCATCTTAGTAAATACAATACCTGAATACTGCAATTCTACAATGAAGAGAGTGTTTTCGCTATTTTTATTTCTGATTGTTGCACTTATCAAAAACTTCAGAAATGAATTAACAGACTAAATGTTTCAAACAATCATTTTGATACAATACGTGGTTTGAATTTATTCATCCTATAATTACGTTTAGTAATCGTTTTAACCAATGTTGTCAAACGAAAATAATTTTACTGATAAATGTATCAGATTCACCACATTGAAAGAATTTATAAGCTTCTTTGATTGTTGTCAGTGTCAGTACTTTAACCACTTACCATGATCTACATAAAAAATACATAACAAACTCAGGTTTTCAGCTATTCGAATGGGATAATTAAATATACATATACCTTTAAAATGACCACAAAATATTAAGGCCTCTAGTCTATTTGCCCTATAAAAACATCGTAACGAAATTTTTTAATAGTCATAACAAAGCTTACCATTCGAAACATAAATTGGTTTTTTTATTAAACACATTGTCATTTTTTTTTAAACATAGAAATGAAATTTCTTCTTCAAGTTTAGTCGTGAAAAATCAGAATCACTTAATCGTTATTATTATGTCTGGAAAAATATGTGAGAACGCATCATTTTTCATTACATTTGAACACATTCATTTTAGAATATGTATACAACTCGGAATTAACCCGTTCAGCCTGTTACAGTTATTATTTATGCAATAAGAAGTGAAACACTGGAAAATAATAAGCACATCTATAGGCATACAAACATATGTATCCATATGGATACATTTGTTTCACGTAGTACCTTATATATTGTGATACTGACGTACGTGTTATAAAAATTTTCGACCTATATCTATATTGATCTTAGTTTTGTTAAGTTACAAATGAAGTAAATTAAGACAGACAAAGTATTTTGTTTCATTACATTTAATGTGAACAGCGCCACTGATTACACTGTTGAAGAACGTCAAATGGTTTTTTCTCACTTTTGTAAAGGCTGATGGTAAATAGTCAACCTATTTAAAAAACTAGATATTTACAGAGCTGCATACTTACCAGTATAAACTAATGAAACTGAACTGACATGCGAATTGCTTGAGATGATCTCGGTTGATAAATTGAAATCGGACAGCAATTTTAAATCATCCTAATACGATTGTTTTTTAACCCGACTTATCATCCCTGTGCTTACAACCATTTGACTAATTAGGTTTACTCTGAATTACCATGATTTTTAACTACTTAAATATTCTTTATAATCAGTTAATAAGTTGACCAGAGAACCTAAGTTGGTAAACAAGAGATCAAAAAGTAATTAGTCATGAATTTTTTCCTGATTAAAGGGTACACGTGTGTCAACTATTACAGTCCGATAAGTTACTTAATCGAGATAACATTGAATCAAACTTATCAAACATAGATTATCAACTGATTTCTTTTAGTTTAATTCATTTATGTTTTCTATAATCAATCATATTGTTTTGGAAGATATCCTTTTTTGGTATAAAACTAGTTATTCGGAGAAAAAGGTTTGTGACACAAGAACCAATTCTTTTCATTGAATATAGATAAATTAATAATTTGTTGTCAATTAGCCATATTTTATGCATAATAACCTATTCATCATTTAGTTGACTATTGAATTATTTCGTAATCAAAACACTCCAAAGATGACTATTTAACAAGGTATTAGATAATGACTACAAAATAGGTAAGAGTCAAAAGAACTTTGTAACTTCTTAAAAATCAAATATTTAGTTTTCAGTAGATCAATGAGAAGTCGGAGTTGATCTGAAAAACATTTCGAACAATCTGGTCACACATATACTTGTCGGGGCATTTTATATGAAGATTAGTAAAGGTCTAGCTACTGAAAATTGCAAAAAAAATCAAGCTTATCTGCTATAGCTGTACATCTAAATGATGTTCTTATTATTTCTGCGAGAATCCCCACATTTCAGACAAAAATGTTCTGTTCCATTCAAATAAAAAGACTACAACTTATCACAATAATGTTGGTATCGAATAAAGTTTTTAGAATAAATAAGTTTTGCAAAATACACTGATTATTCAAATATATCTACGTGAAACATTGTATTATTAATTTTATTATTACTTAAAATGAGAAAGACTATTAGCCTATAAAAGTCGATCAGAATTATATCCCAAGATCATCAACCATTATAATTCTAATTAAATTTGATATGATTAAACTATATTAGCGATCGTATTTATGAAATTATTAGTTACCTTGAAAATACTTAGCTTTATAATCCATATAATTCAAAAAGATATTTTTTCATAAAACTTATATTAGATAAACCAGCTGCTTTCTATAAATCATAGGTTGCATAGTCATAATGACAATAATTAAGAACTGAATTTTGACTGAGTATTCTTCGATAATTTTTCAATTTATAATTTAGATTAAGTATGCTTTTAAAAGCAACCTACTATATAAACCCTTTCAATATAAATTTTAGTTACTGTAATCCTTGTTTACATGTTTGTAATTGTACACTTGTTGAAATTAAATTTAGAAACTAGTTGTCTTCGGGAGTATATCAGATGATAATATCTGTAAAAGCCAACAGCTACATGGATTGACCATTCAATAGTTACTAGTCTCACTCTGCATTCCTAATTATATATAAATTTCAATGAACTACCTACACAACACTTTATTGCGATAGAAAACACATTTCGCTCCTTCGCTGCATTACATTTGTGATGTATTAGATTATATTCATACGAATAAATCACAGACTTTCTCGCGACTAAAACAGATACCATCAAACGTCAAAAAACCATCACATGGAACTAAAATATAGATTGTTTTACAGTTTCCTCAGTCTTCATATGTTATATTATATGGACTGCATAAGGCTGACACAAATTTCTATGAAATATTTTCTTGCTTCAAACTTGTTGCGAAATATACACTTGTCATGGATTGACCACAGTGAACGGTTACGTCTTCCTCTATTTTTCACCGCAATAACTTTCTTATTAAACGATGTCTAAATTGACAACAATATGCTACGAAGTAGTTAAGCTAACAGCCACTGCCTACAGTGATTAATAACAAGTGTTAGATGATAATTGCACATAAAATAAAGTTTATTCTGTCCCTTGAGTTGATTTTGTATAAACTGTCGGGATAAAACTATAGATACGTGTTTCTGAATAAAAAAAATAACTGAATTCTTTGAATATTGAGCTAATCTCCAACCTGTGAGTAATAACAATTCGGTTTATTTGAATAAGTCTTAACATTAACAAATATATTAACTGTGTCGATTTGCGGATGAACTAAAATTATGAATGACTAAACAGAAAACCTGAATCTAGCATACAGCTCATAATGTCTAATTAAAAATGTAACTCATGCATAAAATATTACACTGCAACGTTACTGAATCATAAACAGTTCGGTTTATAGTTTCAATAACATTATCTTCATGATTTTGGAAACCACTAGACCATAGTGACTAGACAAATTTCTTGAAATTTATTTGCACCATCAGTCTCTTTAAATTTTTTAAGAGTAATATTGAGTAAACTGTTAAGCTAAGGTAAATTTCATACTGCTTGAACAGAATATATTGTAAAAACTGAGTCTTGTCAAGTAATATCAGAGCAGTTTGAGATTTATTTGTTGTCAGTAAATGACAAAATTTTTTGGTAGCTCGGCTTCAATTTTCGTAGATGTAGAACTAAACGTTTTCGTTACAAGTACGAAGATTTTCAATTTCTTAAGGTAACAAATCCTTCTTCCTGAAAACTAGTAGACAATAACCTTAGTTATTTCATGTTAGTCCTCAGGTTTTCACCATTTTGCCATATTCTAAACAAAGCAACTGCTCACAATCAGTCAGCAGAGTTTTTCTGTCTTTTCTTAACAGAAATTGGATGTTTATTATGCTTTAAGTTACAGATTTACTCAACCTTATAAAAACATATTTTTCCTAAACGGAAAAAGGTGAAGTTCCATTTCTTGCCCGGTTACTATGGCACCAATAATTATTACACCGAGGTCTAATGGAGAAGATTAACATTTACATTGTTGTGACTAAACACTTAGTAATATTCAGGTTATTCCTTTAGGCTAAATTATAACTTTGACTAATATGTTAGCACAGATATTAATCACTTTATCAACATATAATTAGTCAAGCACGAACTTTACTCAATGATAAGATAAAGTAGATTTTTTATTGAATATCTAAGTGAATAATATAATTATGAAATTTATATACATTGAGCTAATAGCCATTAGAAAAATTTATTACATGTCTGCTTTCTAAAACTCAGTGGGAATTCAAAATACCTACAGGCTAAATTATTTCAACATATACTTTGCAAATAATATCAGATATTTTGGTGTAACCAGTTTGAGGTAACTAGGAAAGCTAAGATTGATGAAAATATAAATAAAAAATACATAAACTGAGACGTCTTCCTGATTACAGTTAAACTACACCATGAAGCACCAACTTTTTAATTTCCTTACCTTCTTTTCAACAAAAAGTAACTTTTTAATATTAAAACTATATGTTTATTATAGTTTCAGCCGCCTTTTAGGTCAATTTCATTGGTATCCAATCTCGATTGTATTGTATTTAAATGTTATGCAGATCTATTAAACTTACTAAACTGACTATTGGGTTACTTTTATGTTCCTTGCTAGTTTTTTTAATAATTTTACTCTTACGGGTTAGTAATCAGTCGAATTTAGAAATGAAAAAGTTTCAAATGATTGTTAATGTTTGACAAGGATTATAATAGCCCAAAATAATTAGGTAAATGTGTCTCTTAAGTTTCTGCTATTTTTTTACGCTCAAACAACAGGTGTTTACTTTAGCGCCGAAATATTATTCATGGTAATTTAAAGTAACTTTTGGTACTGAGAATATGGTCAAGAACGATTTACTGGATTAAAGCATTGATAAATATTGATTTATGATCATGTGGATGTATAACAGCTACCTGCTGAAATCATCTGTTGTTTTCAATGTAGACAATAAATTCTTATGCCTAAACTAAGGTTATTCTTAGACAAAAGTAATTTAGATTTAATGACACAAATTCAGAATAAAGGGAGGAACTATAATAATCAATGAACTATATTTGAACTACTGAAAGAATTAATGACACCCTATATTTCATATGAAGTTTTTACTTCGAAAAGATACACTGAATCGAATATTTTTTATTTAGGAAAATAATGAAGGTGAATATCTTACCACCTAATGTAGGACGATGTTTATCTTCTCTACATACTGCCAGATAAACTTCAACGAGTGAATTCGATTGTAGTGCACCTTGTGGTATGGTCAAGAAAATACCTGTTCTCAATAGATGTATATGTTTATATGTATGAATAAAAACACGAACCGGAACAATAACACATCCGTTCATATTCATCATTTAACAGTCGACAAATTGTGCAGAAGTTCGATTCACAGAAAATGTGGAGAAAGAAAAACAGAGAAACTGGTTAGATATATAGAACGTTATGTAAGCTTAGGAATAAATTTAATGTTATATTGCATTGAACAAATTTTACTAAAGTTTTTCCACTTCTTTTATTTTAAAAAATTGTTTTCTTTACTACATTTAAATGGAACGAACAAAGCAAGAGAGGTGACCACCTGGGACTGAAATACATTGGTTAGATATTTCCGCTCAAAATGTCAAAATACTTCATGAAATCGAATCACAAGTCATATGCTTAACTCGAGTTAGTTTTCAGATACGTCTAACTCATATAGCTTATCATACTTCTGTTGTTAATAATCGAGAGATAACCAAAGATGTTCTATATCAACGGAATTTTGGTGTTTGATTACCTGACCTAGACTTCATTTATAAGGAAAATTAAGATTTATTAAGAATCTTCAGTTTCCTTTTCACCTAATCTAGAAAGTGATATAGAAGTTTTACAAACGATTCATGTACATCATATATTAATTTTTTTTAGCAAAGTTTTAGGAGAAAATTTCAATGATTTAAATTGGATTTTCATATGTATGTTGACCTTCATTCATGTATTAATAAATCAAAAACTTTAAAAGGTTTGTCCAAGAAACGATGAAATATTTAGCAGATAGTTGTTCCAAAAAAAGATTTTCCCACTAGATCTGGTTGTCTGTATATTTTAAATGTTATATAATTTAGTAATTAATTTGCATTTTGCGTGACTTAAAAATCAAAACGTTATTTATCAAGCATTGGATGCTGAAACAATGTGGTTATTTAAAACATATTATAACTTGATTTTATAAAACTGTAACAGTGTAAGGAAATAATACCAGTAAGCAAAATTTACAATATAATAGAACATACCTGATTGTGGTAAAGCTAATTGGTCACCATCGCATGATATAGTTTTACGAATAGTCGTATCCAATTCTAGAGGATCATTAATTTCACATAAAATTGATCGATCAGATGAAACTGCGTCTAAAGATAATTCATGGTATAGCCCAGATTCTGGTTCACATTTCTCGTTGCACTCATCAATTTCCACGTTTAAAAAATTTATGTTATAGTTATTAGGACTTTTATTTGTGAGACATCTATTTAAAGGCAATCCTACTGATCCATTACTACTTCCTCCATTGCAAGATCCAATTGCAGTAACAGTTGTGCCTGTGTTTGCTGTGGAAGGACCAGAAGAACTCTCGATTGGACCACCTAAATTGCTAACAGCTAAAGGTGTTGAGAAGTGTGGTCCACAACCTATTCTGGATAGCCCAACTTCTGATTCAACATATGTGGGTCTGTAAAAAGGGGGAATAACATTAAGAGACATTTGTGATAATTGTGCACGATTTTTCAGCTGCACTGCTGTATCAAAATGCAACAAAAACGAAATGTGTTCTTTTCGAACATTCTTTATCAATTCTATAAATGTTATGAGTATAAGTTTCTGGATTCAATTAAAGAATTATGTAGTGTTACTTTTGATAATTTTATTTTCATTTCAATTTTCGAAATAAGGTCTGTCAACTAATAGGAAACCTGAATGCAGTTACAAATTATGTAATTTCAACACAATTACTAAACATATTTTTAATTATTCGCAAAATTTTAAGACTCAATCTTTGCACTAATGTTATAATATAGCTGAATCGAGAAAGTTCGACTAAGTTACAGATACTTAGAGATTCCACAATTTTTTATTACAGAATGACAACTTTCATAATTCAAAATTTTCCATCAAACTTTCTTTAATTACTTTTAAACTAAAAACATTTTACCTCAGTAAAGTAAACTGAAAATCTCCAATAACTATGAAGTCTGTTTAATTTCTGTGTCCTACCTCAATGTACATACTGTTAACTACTACAGAATAGTCAACAAATTTATTTCATTTCATCTTATTTCCCAAAGTAAATTTTGTTCAATATTAATAACCTTTTTTGTGTGTTGAAAATTTTCTTTATCCATTGCTCTCAATCTTTAAAATAATTGTCTCTTTTCATAATTAAAGAAAAGACTGATGACAACAAAATCTAATAGAAAAATACACGCCCTAAATTAGAAAGAAAAAATCCTTTTTATTACGAAAATAAAAGAGAACAAGTTCAAAGGTCATATGAGTTAAAATGTTCATTACACTAGTTTCTTGGATGACATAAATTCAAAGAAAACAGATGAAATTAATGGATTCGCAAAATTTCTTTTGAAATTTTTAAAAGTTCTATTGAAACAAAATTTATTAAAATTAAAAAAAAAGTATTTTGAGATGATGTAGACGATTTATAACTCAGATGAGTAATTTTGATATAGTTACATTCTCTGAGCTGAGTGATTTAATTGTAAGGCTTTCATTTTTCCTATGGATGCTATCATCAGCACAAACTTTAGAGAGAAGTGAGCTATCCGAATTTCCCCATATATGACTGACAGCTTGTTTTGTCAGGCTTGATTTTGAATGAACAATGTTGTTGTTGATGTTGTTGCCTTTTATCATGTCATTGTTTATTTATTTCGAATGTTATCCATTTTAACCCTGTTTTACTTTGTAGTTGTCTATGATTTTATCTAACTAAGCAGTTGATAAGTTGGATCAACTTCAATGTATGTTGGTTGTTAATAAATTTATCTGTCAAGCTTCTAAAAAATTTCTTTGTATTTACTTTAAAAAAATGTCCACAGAATATCAGACATGTGATCGTTCTTTTAATCTTCGTTTGCATTAATACTAAATAGCAATCCGTCATTGTGATGTATGTCCCCATACGTAAATATCCATAGACATTATCGACTTATACTTGGCTGGAAACCTTGAATAAAGTGTATAAAAGGAAATCACTCCTCTTTAAATTTTGTGCATCCATAATGAAAACGAAAGCCTTACAATTAAACCACTCAGTTCACCAGAAGTAACTATTTATTTAGATTACGACAAAATGAAGAAATCAACTAACTTCTAGTCCATTTATAAATATAAATGAATACTTAACTTGGAAAAAGTTTATAAATGGAAATATTTGGACGACTACAAATTTCAATAAAATATTGAAAAAAATTGAGACTAATTAAATGAGATGATTATTTAACTGGTCATGACATATGAGCCATGCGGAAGTGTCCTGATTAAATTTGAGGCAGGAAAGCACATTTACCTTCGATTCTGCATGTAATTCTTATTAGATTTTTAACGAAACACTAACCAATGTTCGTTCACAGAGTCTTTAACTAAAAGACCGAGAATAAAGTATATTTTATTTAATCACTAAAAGTTTGAAATACCTTGAGTTCAAGAAAAACAAAATCATCGATGGGGAGATATTAGCTCAACTTGTGTTTAATGTAACATATTAATGTTACCTATTAACACCACAAAACTACAGTATATTTTTAAGATTTAGATCAACTCAGTAACTTAAGATTTTTAGATACTATTTCTGTACTATTAGTGATATGAGACCAAATTGAGTGATATACTTTAATAATATCCAGATCAATAGTTTGTGCATCATATTTACGAAAGTGATATAGCTTATAAGTAAATAAGTCATTATTAAGATCTAAAATACCAACTTCATTTTCACTTACTAATGATCGCGTGTGACTGCCTACAGCTGAAAATTCGTATACTTATTTGGACTTGCTTTTTATAAACAATGTTGAAAGCGATTAAAAAATAAAAATATATGAAGAGAATCACACTATTCTTAGTAGAAAAAAGACATCCAGTATTGGGAAACATGACTTCTCCATTACTCTCATTAATAAATAGAATCCAATGTTTCAAACTTACGTGGCCAGATACTGTCAAGTTGATTATAAATTATGGATAAAAACATAAATATACACTTTTATTTAATTAAAAAATAACCGGTATTTAAGTAAGCTAAGATGTCACTTCATATTCGCTTCACTTATACATAATAAATTTGATAAGGATAATTAATTTTTTCTTACTCGTTTGACTAGAACTCATTTGAACTATGGTTTTTAGGCTGAGATAATATATAAATCATGTGGCTAGCAAGACCTTTCAACATATAACTCATGAACGCTATTACACAGATCAGTTATTATCATTCCTTAAATTTTATTGATCATGAGATTGGGAATATTCTTTTACATTGCAATAGACCTCATTAAAATAAATAAATTTATACTACATTCATTATAAATTGCGTGACACACAATAGAAATCCACTTTCCTGACAAAAATGATGCGCCAAATGTTTATTTCTAGTTAAAAGCTGTAAACTGACTCACTGTCATTTTATACCTGATCACAAATTATTGCTGTTGTGGTATAACATTTTGATCATTAGGTTTAATGTTGTAAGGGACATTAAATCAATAGTTCTCTTCAACTTAAACTTGTGATCATAATTTCATCAGCTAAGTAAAAACAACAAGATCGATAATATAAAGTGAATTCATTCTGTTTCAAGGCTTCTCATCGTGTTTATTTATTATTAATATGTCCTCACGGAATTAATACTCCAAGGTTTGGTATATTTTAAAAACGAGTATGATATGAATGTTTCAAACGGAACTGAAAATTATTATCGACGAAATTAGTACACAAGATATATAATTAACTTTAGTTAAATTTGATGCATCTCATGAAGAGTGAAGCAGGTGTGATTATATTTACTGGTAATCATGATAATCATGATTGTAACCATTGGAAAAAAATAAGACTGTATTATAATATTGAGAATAATGGGTGACCATATAATTAATCAGCATGATTAGGACCAAAATTAAATTAGCATGTGAGTATCTATACGATTATGCAAGACGTAAAAAATTCTATGATTACAACCATAATCACTATGGTACTGGAAGACTATTATGATAATTCTGTACACATAGGCCAGGTCAAAAAATTTAGATTTCAGTTGCCTCTGTTAAATGGAGTAAAATTGGCGTTGGATGTTTGATTTAGAATGCTTCGCAGATGTTTACACTATGTCCACTATCCAGTAAAAACTGAGGATTTTATTATGTAAATTATTTATGTCATCATTTATTATTTACAGTATTATCGTGAAATCTCTTATTTTTATTATGGCCATTGGTAACTATAACCTCGCTTCTATTCTGCATACAAATATAACCTTGAAATGTTGGAAATAAATACTTACTCAGTTCCTGAATTCACCACTTGGTTAGTAAACTCGATATTTGTTTGTAAATATGGGTCAGAGGTCAAATATCCATTTATTTGACAAGATGCCAAATTCATAAAATGTTGTGTACTTGGTAAAGTACTCGGAAATCCAGTATAACCAGAAATATCTGATGTTGCGTGACTACTATCGAAATTGATTGATGTAGTTGGAATCGGTGGTAAGGATAGAGGTAGTGGTGGTGGTGGAGTCGGAGGAGGAGGTGGGGGAGCAGGTGGTGGTGGTAAGTTTGCTAAAATTGACGTTGCGGTCCCCAAAGATGTTCCATTAGAAAAGACCAAACTCTGTCCAGCTGTACTTAGAGGAATATTGTTGATTGGAGTAGTGTTGTATTGGTGTTGAAATAGTACACCATTAATTGCACCGTTTATTACATTTACTCCAAACGTTTTATTATTTATATTGTTACTATTATAACTTGGTTTCATTCTGTTCATTTCCTGGTTATGTGTATCGGCCACACTTGGATTCATTATTGTAATCATAGTTTGTGACATGTCACCGGGTAATAGCAGGTCTGTAGATGATGGAAAAACTCAAATCGTGTTAGATATCAATTGGTTAAAAATGAATGCAAAAGTCTTGATTTTTCTTCATATATAAAAATTAGTAAATCTTAGTAAATTGATCAAAGTTGAATAAAAATAAAAGCAAGTGGGTCCTAATGGTCTTTGGAACTATGAAATAACAACATTTTTACTCACACGAATAGTTTATTTGAAATACTAATAGGAATTCTGCCACATAAATTACTCAATCACCATTAAAAAAATCATTTATCTCAACTCAAAGTGTTGATTATAATGACTAAAAATATCTAGTGTGACGAGATTAAAAACAGTGATAATCATCCTTACTTATTTACGCCTGTTACTCCCAATGGAGTATAGGGCACCAACCAGCATTCTCCAACCCATTCTGTCCTGGGCCTTCCTTTCTAGTTTAATCCAATTGTTGTTTATTCTTCCTATGTCTGTCTCCATTCCTCGGTGTACTGTGTTCTTTTGTTTTCCTCTTTCCATTTGGCCTTGGGGATTCCATGTGAGGGCTTGTCTTGTGACGCAGTTGGGTGCCTTCCACAATGTCTGTCCTATCCAGTTCCAGCGCTTCTTCCTGATTTCTTCCTCCGCTGGAATCTGATTTGTCCTTTCCCATAATAGGTTGTTTCTAATAGTGTCTGGCCAACGAATTGCGTAGACAACCGTTAATAAACACCTGTATTTTCTGGATGATTGCTTTCGTAGTTCTCCAGGTTTATGACCCATACAGTAGAACTGTCTTGACATTTGTATTGAAAATCCAGACCTTGATGTTGGTTGAGAGTTGCTTTGAGTTCCAGATAATCTTCAGTTGTAAATATGCTGCTCTTGCTTTATCGATCCGCGCCTTCACATCTGCATCAGATCCCCCGTGTTCACCAATGATGCTGCCCAAATATGTAAAGGTTTTTACATCTTCCAAATCTTTTCCGTCAAGTGTGACTGGATTGTTGCATGCTGTGTTGTATTGGAGAATCTGGCTTTTCTCTTTGTGTATATTGAGACCTACTAGTGCTGAGGCTGCTGCTACACTGGTCGTCTTCTGCATTTGGTGTTGCGTGTGCTATAGAAGAGCCAGATTATGATCATCCTATGTTGATAAAAAAATTTAACCGGAGTATTTTGTGCCAATGTGATGGAACTTTGAGAGTGTGTCGTGAAATTCAAATGTGATTGCACCACTACAGTTGTTATAAAATCTATTTTTTTATACATCCTATTGTTCATGTAATTAAATTTCAGGTAAATTATAAAATGATTTACTTGTATGGTGTTTTTGAAAGTTAGTAAACTTTCATGAACATTGATTGGATCCAATGCGACTAGGAAATGTGGCCAACGAAATCATAATAACGTCTTTAAAATGGTCATAATCTAGCTGATGGGTAGCTGGATGAACTCCTACCTCTCTTAAATCATACAAGGCATTTCAGGATTTTAAAAGGTTTGTGTCGACTCCTTCCTGATCTCCAAATGTTTTGTTCACAACCATAGGTCAAGTTACCAAACCACTTTCATAGCTAAAATATTATACTTTATAAGGTTCAGTAAACATTTCTGGCTAAATCGTGTTACTAGTTAGTTAATAAAGACTGGGATGTTTGATCAAGTTTTCTCTATATATAATATACAGTAAATTACCATTGATTTTAGAAAAAGCGGAATAAAAACTATGTGACTACTATTTTGAAACGAACCAGAGTATCAGTAGTTCACAGATATATTCGTTTTGAATAGTGCTCCAGTTCTAAACTAGAATTGCAATAGTATAAATCGAATCACCATAAAACTTTAATTATCATTTAATTTGCTTATTTTTATTGAAAAAATTGTTTAATACTTTAAGACATATATATTACTATATATAGAAGCCAAGAATGACAGATCGAAATAATGATGACTTTCCTTTTCTCAGGGATTTATTTGACATTAATGAATTAAGCCACTGAATTATGTCAAAAAACCGATTGTATTATATCCATTATTTCCAATTCGTTATATAAATAACTGTCATTAAAGAAGTCGGCGATGAATGTGATTAGTATGAAACTCGATTATTTTTAAGTCAAGTTATTATTTTAATAGAGAAATGTAGTAAAATCATTCTTAATAACATTGATAACTGTATCGCAAGTAGTTTTTTCCCCAATATACTTTACACAAAATAACAATAGTATCTTTGGTAGCTTACCTTGGGCTTTTTTATTAACTATCTCTTGTCGACATGAACGTTTACCTGTTCAAAATACAATCAAATCATAAGGAATTTTTTAAACTAAGAACTGGTTTAATTTAGAAAATGAATTATTCTTTTAAAACAAGCATTAAATATACTACTGATTAAAAACGTTTTAAAGAACAAGAACGAAGATTTGACCGGAATCATATGAATTGATTTTAGTGATTGAGACTCTCGGTTTACAAACCTTTTGCTCATATTGACCGCAGCATTGCAATTTCTTTGAAATTCATTATTTTATATTCAACTGATTGATCTCAACACATTCTATTGTTAATTTTGACTAACTTCTGTATATCCATTTTACTTACATTACTCGACCAACTTTTTATAGATTTATGTCCTTTTTATCATTATGTTTTATGTTCTAGCGTCTCTTTTCGTACAAGGTATTTATATGAAACACCTTTTTATATTCCCCCAATCTTATTATCTTACTCAGTCATCAGTACAATATGATGTTAAATATTCACATGTAATCAATGTCACTGTAATAATTATGTTAATTATAGAGTGTAGGCATCTACTGGGAACTTAACAAAATAAAATAATTTCATGCGATTTTGTTCAAATCTTTTTTGTTGATCTCTTTAAGATGATAAATGGAACAAAATGTATTCTTCTCCTTATTCCATAGATTTGGGGGGGGGGGGAGAAAATTGCATTCGCATCGCTGAAAATTAGAAAAGCATTAATTTACTTGAATATATTTCGTAAGGATTCTTATAACGTCCCATGTAATGTATGAATGAAGAAATGCAGGGAAATTAGATCACTTAATATCTTAAACATTATTCTATTCAATACATTAATTTGTAGTCGAGTCACATGTATTTCCTTACTGTTTATATGAAGCCTATGATAAGAAATTAATGTAATAACTAATTAAGACTTTTTATATGACATTAAATGAAACATGTTCTATTAGAAACGCCTAGAAGCTGTTTTTGGTTTTTTTTAATTGTATCTTTATTAATTAGAATTGAATTGTATATTGAGGAAAATGAGTAGGTTTTCATCTGGCTTTTTTTTAATGTGATGGCCGAAGTAATTTTCTATTGTAATATTGAACACTAATTGCTTACGTTGTACATATATCATAAAGACAAACGTAAACCAACTTCGATTCATCAAAGAACGAACTAAAATAGATGAAAAATTTGTTTTATAACATTCTCATACACCCTCTAATGAGAAAACTTTTCATGGTATCCTGTTTTAACATTCAAAGATTAGATAGGCATGCAGCTTTTTTGTTAATCTACTCTGTTGATGATGTGCTTTCTTGAAACTGATTCAGTTTCATGAGTTTTTATTTCTTTTGTTTAAAATTATATGAACTATTTTTCATTTAATTTCAAAATGCTGGAACCGAAAACAACCATTTAAGAAATGTATGATGAACTTACGTGTTTGCTTTTGAAATTAAAACACAATATGTTATTAAACAAGAAAATAAAAAACCCAAAATGTTTAGTCAGTTTCACTGTACTCATTAATCTGAATATTGAACTAGTGAGTCAATGCAGACCCATATCGAGAAATAAATAGGCTAGAATAAGCTGATTCTAGTCTAATCATCAATAAAATATCCTGATGTACCATGACTTATATTTAAAATGTGTAAATCATTAACAGATAGCACAAGCGATTTGGTGTTTTCTACACTTACCTATAAACAGAATTTCTGTTTGTTGTTAGGTATTTAAGACTACAAATCGTGACATTCCATATGGAATCGTTCAGTATCTGTACACATATATAAGAGCTCGGTTTCCCGCTACATGGCTTTAGTTTAATTTTTACTGCATGGCATTTCTTGCTTATTAATTGCTTTTTGATAGACAAATTACAATTCTTTTAAAACGTGTATGGCATTAATTCACACTCTCTATTATTCAACTAAAATGTCCTCCGTTAAGTTGTTTATTAGTTATTTTCAGTTGAATTTAAAACTTACGTTTTCTTCTTTGCAAATGTCAACAACTTAGAATATTGACTTTCTTACTAATATCACAATCAAACGTCACTAACCTAGTATTCATTGCCTGTTATTATGTATCTGTTTCGCAATTTACAGAACATCATAAGAACCATCCAGATCCCATGATTTTCAAAAAGTAGTATCTGGTTACATGGAGAAAAAAGTAAATTACTCACTATGAAGACAAGCGGAATAACGAATCGCCCGAGCAGTAGAAAATTTCAAGCTTTTCCGCCTCGTTATTAGAGCAATAACCGCTAATAGCACAGCTAAGGACAAAAATAAACCAACATAAATTGCGATTTCTCCAGTTTTAAACATTTGTGAACTTGATATTTTTGATGTAGTAGTTGGTGATTTTATATCTGAAAGGTGAATTCCCTTGAAAACGACGTTATTCATGGAATCTAAAAAAAGGCAAATTTACGTGATGTATGAAACTGAAAAATAGAATACTCATAAATAATTTTCGTCAGATAAACATATTTTGCAACCTATAGTTTATGTTTTTTTGAGATTACTAAATAAAACCTCAAATAAATTTGTCGGAAATTTGTAAACTAACAAAAAGTATTCTACTGAATTCTCTCTAAGCACTAAGGTAGAACTCATTACACACACCCTGCTATTATCTTTTTTAATTTCTGCTAATTTTAATGTATCAAGTATAATTGGTTGCTAAGTGAATAGGTTCACTTAAACGAAACTAACTATTTTATGCCTAATAACATTTTATATTACGATAGATTAAAAAATCCATCTACAAAATACTATCTAAGTGACTAAAATCAAAATAGACACTCATCCTCTTGAAGTAAAAAAGTATGTCTATCAAACATCTTGAAACATTTTGTGGCTTGTAAATCATTTAAAAAGTACATAAACTGAACAAAAGTAATGTTGATCAAATTTTTAGGTATTTCAAAGATATGTTAATATGTAAATTCAGATTAATTAATGAAGTGAAAAACAGTAATTTAATGGTCCTTTAAATTCTATTGCTTGAAAAATTGAATTTAACCAGAAACATTATTCAAATATGATGTTAGCTTTCATATCATACCTATAATTGCTTCTGTTTTACAATGAATTACTCAGATTCAAAGTTTTATTCAATCAGTTACTTTGTTCGGCTGAAATTATTCAGGTTATGTGAAGACAAGCACGTTCACTTAACTTTATATCATATAGTTAGCTAATTAGAAATTAGCATATTTCTGGTGTTTATTTGTCCTTGTTTTATGCGACATTTTGCTTGACAATAAGGAAAACCTCTGACAGAAATCATTAGCTTTTTTTTCGAGTAGTATCGTTTTTTTATTTCTGGTCGTTTTTACATATTTATTCTAAAGTAATAATTAGTTGCTTTACAAAATTGACAAATTTTTTCCAACCTGTTTGCTTCAGTCAATTTTACACTGTATATCTATATATCTATATATCTATATTACTTTATTAATCTACTTCACAATAATTTTATCTGTAACAGATTACTTGAAAAATATATGAAACACTAGTTATCAGCTGGTTTATATAATCTAAAAACTGACAAGTGTGTTGTATTTTCAACCGCATGTCCTCACATATCCAGGTCCTGGTCGTAATTTCAAGTTAGGCAATGATTTGTAAAATATTACCTGAATGGGAACGATATTACTCAAACCATTGGTTTAGATAGACAGAATTTTACTTACTGATACACTGACTGGAAGAGCAATTTCTTGCTTGGAATAAAGGCGAAGGACACTGATCTGTTATTAGATGACTTATATCAATTGATTTAAATTCATTTTTTGATGTTATTTGATTGGCACATATACGATAACGGGTTTGTTGACAAACTGTTCGAGCATTGCTTCCTTCTGCTATGACTTTATAGCATGTTCCCCACTCACCCCAATTAGTCAAATCACCACCTACCGGTCGATTCATGGCAGAGTTGTAGGCTAAATGTAGTAAGTGGAAAGTATTTTTAAGAATTTAAATTTTTGTCAATTATTCTCAAACTTAGTTCGCAGTTAGAAACTATAATAAAACACTAATTTTAGTATAACAAACGGATAACATAATGTGCAGAAGAACAATGCAAACTCTGAAATAAAGTATTCGTCTTAGATAATCCAACGTAAATGAAAACGAATTATTTAGTCATTTGAAATATTGTTTACTAATATGATTGAGGTTGTTTTAAAAATGTATGAACACATTTATTATACATGAGTACAAATGTAGCAAATGTTTTCCTGTACGCTCATTGTTGACTGAGTTAATTTCACTGAAATATCACAGTTTTCTGGACATTGAAATAAAAATTTACTGTAAAACCATTTTCCAATGAGTCAATTTTCAATTGATAACTATATCTACACACTATTTGTTTCATAAGACGAGGCCATTTTCTAGTTACAAACTGCTGACTCAAATCGCACTGTTAATAATGGTTGAAAAAATTCCAATATTCTAATGTAAGAAATACGAAAGCACTTGTGTCTGATGATCCTAGTAGCCACTTAATTTATTTCTAGTTTTAAGATGAAAGGGGAAACTAACTAGCTGTTATTTACAGTATAAAACGTAGTATTAGTTATTAGCATTTGTAATCAGAGGTGAAGGTTTTACTTGTCTGAAGTTATAAACCAACATGATAAATAAACAGGTAGACAACTAAATATCTGGGAATTCCTAATGATAATAACCAGAGTTTGTAACCCCGACTAGGTTTGCAAAACCAGTAATTGTTTATCTGTGAAATCACTAAAAGTAATTCTATGAGCTATTAAAAGTAATTTTAAATAAAATACGAGCACATACAACTTGAAATTGAATCGATGTGCCTACATAAGTCAACTTGGCACAGTAAGTTGTGTGGCATAATTTTTAAATATTAAACAACTCTCTTTTCAATAAAATAGTTACATTTGTCCATATCGAAAAAAACAAGTTGTCTTTTTTAACGGAAAACATTGTCCTGCCTTAATCAACGTTACTTTATGTAAATAGGTCACTAGGAATTTGTAGAACTCTCAGAAACATGACTTACCCTCCTGTTTAATTAAGTGCATACACTTGAGTTTTTGAGTTATTGGTAAACTTTGTATATACATTTTATCTGCTTATTTAACTAAAAAGTGACATGATATGGGCCTGATTTTGTTACATATGTTGAAAAGCATCAGTAATTTCTTTTGCTTGATTGGCGAAAAACAAAACTTTACTTCCTAATAGTTAGTCAGACGAATATTGAGTAATATAGACAATCCTTTAAATGCGTTACCAGCTTACTGTTAGTGAGGGCGTTAATTTAAACGAGGAACACTATCAATCAGACTTACGGAAAATATTGACTCGAGCAACTGCACGTCTTTTCTCACCATTAAGACAGGCTGCTACACATGTATAATTTCCACTATCTGCAGTTGTTGTATTCTCTATGATCAAGTGATTATAGTCATTAATTACAATATGTGGAAACGATTTAGTATCAACACGCTTTCCATCTTTTAACCAATAAACCTAAAATTAAGATGATAAATGAATAAAAGGTTACTTTGAACTTTGTTTTTTGAGGGTATCAAAAACCAAGAAAGTATAAAAAAAATTCAGAAATTGTTCAGTGTTCAAACTCTTGATTAGTTTAAATCTTTCCACTGATTCTTAAAGAGTATTTGTATTTCCATATTCATACATCTAGTTTGAATTATATTCATCACGGATGCTGGCTAAGGATGCATAATTTAGATTCCAACCATTTTGAGTTTTAAAAACGTTCACAAACTCATCGAATAATTTACCACTGAAAGAAATCCCATACTCATATTCATCGACAATAACAGTTACAATTATTTTTTTACTTTGAATCATAAATCAGTCTGGTGAGTTCCTTAAAATTATAATTTTATATTCAGTTTAAGGTTTATTGATCAGTTTTAACGAATCAATGTGATTAGAGTGATTTTATTATTTGATTAAAGTTTAACTAATATATAGGAAAGAAAACAATGATTACGGTACTTAATTTTCTATAAATTAGATTACCAAAAAGGTAACTTTTAGGGTGTTTACTAATTAAATAATCTTTAAATTAGTCCAATGTTATAGACTACGTAAACGCGTAATTCATCACACCATTTTGTTTTAAAACGATGTAAACAGCTTAACTGAAATCCTGAAACTTGGTTTTCTTTTATATCCACTGGTCAATCATCAGTGGTAATGTGAATGACATTTCGAATTTGATAGTCGAAACCTCAGTACAGTTAGTGAGAAATACTGTTGTCTATGATAAAAGTTTGTACATATTTCCTTGCATAAACGGATATGTTAAATAAATTTATGTTTTAAGTAACATTTTTGAAGTTACAGTTTTGTTTTTCTGAAATGATTATTAGTAACAGACATCTCACTGAGATGTTTAATAAGTCTTCTGATTAAACTTGATATTTTTCTGTTAATTATCATTACATCCTAATGTAACGTATGCCTTTGTACAAAAAAAAACAAATAATGTTTGCTTAGTTACGAAAGTGTACTCTCCAGTTTGTGAATAAAATCCGTTTCTGTCAAAATAAAATAATTAAAAGCCTTTAATAGTTTGTAGAAAACCACTAGACCATAAATGAATGAGTAATCTTTCGAGGCATTGATGTTTCAACAGATAGGAGATTAGAATATTTTAGAAATTTCACATTATATGCATTACCATTGCTATCACTAAACACAATACGATAATATAATTATTTTGAAAACTAACGGTAATCAAGTCACATTACATGGCATACTTTGTTTAGTTTTGTGAGAAGCTTGGTAAACTGAACTTTTGAATTCAACAAGCAACCTGTGAAATAGGTAATTATAGAGAATAGTGCACCCTGGCTTCGAGCAGTGCGTTATTGACCAAACCCAATAAATCCTGACTTTGGTGTCATATACTCAAATCGTGTTTTAGAATAATTTAGATGAAAGCTTTTCTGATTCCTAAGATGAGCTAAATTGAAGTATTAAAAATTCATGGACACAGAGTTAGAAATATTAAACACCTAAGTTGAAAAATATTACGGAATAACTTGACATTTAATACTTCCAATAATATAATAACATATTTTAAATAGTCCTAGACTTAAGGATTTTTTAATGTTGTTCATGAGAACAAAACCATTTCTGTGATTCCTAAACGTTCAATAACAGTATTATATATTTCGATTGTGATGGCTAAACGCAAGTCTGTATTTTGATTTCAACTAGGCTAATAATTTGATGTTTGAAGAATAATATTTTCAAAGCACAACAACTTTTTAACCAAAATGGTGGATATTTTGACAGACAATTTGATTTTCCTTGGAAGAGCACCAACAATGATATAAAGAAATAAAAATAAAACTCTCATGGACACTCATGTGATCATAATCGTTAAAAAATTACGTTATACTAAGGTCATAGAATAAACCAGGGCTCTTGCTAAAGTTCACTCTGATGAGTATCTGATATTTTTACGTTAACTGGCAGTATCTCCAAAAGACTGATTATTTGTTTTATTCGACTCGAATCACGTTTATAAAACGCCTAGTAATTAAAATCTCTTAAACGGCACTACTAGAACATTCATGGGTGTTAACATTATTACGGATTTTTAAAACTACATTATAAACTTTGTTTATATGACTATAATTATCACACCCAGTATTGGATATTGTAATCGTAATATGATAGACAATGTCTGTGAAAAATACAATAGCATATAAACAATATGACTTATACCTATTTCTTGAAAAGGAAATTAAACATTGTATTAAAAAAACTTCTAAAAATACTTTCACATACTAATTAAGCATATTCCTATCAATGACTAGTATTTCCCCCCTAGCTTTTATCAAGCCATATAAACCAACTATGAATATGCATAAAGATCCAGCGAATGAGTATTAGTTTTTGAAACAGTAGTATTTATCTAGGTATTTTATGTATACAAGTACGCTTGTAGTTAATAATAGCCCTAAAAGTACAACTTGTATCTAAGTATGTTTCTCACTTAGGAGAGCTCATTAGTAACTATGACATATATATACGCGGTAAAACATCAGATTATAATAATAATAGCATAAGTAGATATTTATATTCTCTGTAAATGTTTCTTTTCAATTAGTAAAAATAATCAAATGAGCAAAAATAGCAGTCATTTAATTTTTACATTATTTCCTCCTTGCCAGAAATACATTCACTTAAATAATTATGTTATTCATAACTTTGTTTTAATAAAATGTCAATCAGAAGTTTCTAAAACGATATATAATTTTAGAATTATCTCAGTACTTCTTTAGCATAAAAAAGTAACCTATTCACGTGTATGTTCTACTTTTATCAATAGATAAATAATCCTTTAACATGTTGATACAGCTCTAGTAGACAGAGAACATAAGATAAGAGTACTCGTCTACTTACTGACTTAAGCTATATTTTTGAATTCATTGAGTACAGTTTGATAATAGTTGTTCTAAAGTCTACTGCATGCTTAGTAATGTGGGTTAGTTTTTTGAAAGCGCATATCGCATAGGTTGCATGATAAACGTTAGTAACGATCATTACATAATTTTTCTTGTGACGTAATCAAAAATAAAACCTAGTTTCATATGAAGAAATTTTATTTCGGATATTATGATTACACACTACATATAATACAAGAGAAAATAGATATCTCAATCTTATTCAAATAGTTATATTCTATGCAAATAATAAAATATCCATGTTAGGGTGAAATGATAGCGTTTTGCACCTCCAAAGTGCTGCTAGACTACCATGTATACCTGTGAAAATTTTGACTACCTAGTTTACTTAGACTGTCTGACATGGTTTAATAATATTTTCACTTGACTGGTTGTTGGTAAAGCACATGAACCAGCCGATCAATATTCGCCTAAAGACTAAAAGTCCTCTAATAGGATGGAGTAAACTTAATCAATATCGTTTAGGCTGGATACTGTCCACCAATAAAACAGGTGCTTAATCTTCCTAATTTTTTTTGGGAACTTTTTAAATAATACAACTTTGCGATAACAAAAATAACTCAAACATTTGTTGGAAATGACCGACTGAATGACCAGAAAAGCTATATCCGTTTACCATTTACCTAAACTAGATATCTTAAATGCAATCAACCATTAATATGCTAAACAAAACTATTCATTTAACTTCACGCCTTTTTGTCAAATTTTTCAGCTGAAAAACAGCGATTTAAATAATACAGTGATACTGAGTATTGGTAAAAACATTCTTATTAATTAATCTCAATACAATAAACCGTATTTTAGACATTGAAAGGAAATTAGAATTCATCAGTTAAATTTCATCTTACTGACAAAGCTTTGAAATAAACGTGAAAATTATTGAGATGCAGCTGAGATAGGTTTTATGCTGGTCCCATTTATTGGGAAATATAAGTACGTTAAGAGTTCTGTGTTATATTTTTGATAAAATAGTATTTCATCAATTGTTTTCTTGAATAAATGTGTTCCTTCTTCATTTTTATAAAAAACGTACTAGGTAGTTTTATTAAACGTATTGAGTGGAAATCTATAACCTAAATTACATACATATATACATGCTCATTGCTGTTATTTGACCTAGGTGTGTTTAACTGAGAAAAAGTATTATAACGACTATAGTAGGGAAATTCATCCCAGTATTGATATACGAGCGATATAATAGTACCTTCAAATTCAAGTGGTATAATTAAATTATGATGTAGCTAATTTACGGCAACTATCCTACAACCAATTTCGATTATGGTTGATTTTGGTTAAGACCGTTTATTTACTTACTTAATAGATAATATTATCATAACAGTAACAATTCGCATATTTCTTTATACCGTTATGACCACTAGACCACATGACAGACTAACTAAAATGTTGATTGCTTAAATATCACTCGATGATTCATATGCATGTACGCAAATCCTATTATTAGCCTTTGCTGCGCCCTTAGGCGATTCGACTTGAAATTCGCCTTTGTATTTGCTCGCTTACATATATATTCACATTTCTGCTTCCAGTTTGCTTGATGTGCTTATAGCTTTGTGATCTACGCTAGTCGCTAATAAACTGTAGTTACCGCTTCTCATTGCTATCTGTTTTTAATCACCGTTGAGATTTATATTATAACGGTTATCGAGGCGATCGGTTAACTAAGCAAAACCACTACAAACAGTACACATAAATTTATGACTGTAAATATTTACTTCTAAATTACTTACAAGGCATTGTTGAATGTGGTTTGGCATCCTACGACATTCTAATTGGGTTGGTATTTCATTTTTACATTACAAAATAAACATACAAGACGCTACTTATTATAACAATAAGAGTCTAAATAATAAACCTATGTGATGTAAACTTTATTAAGCATAAATGACTTCATCAATATATTTTCTTCATGAACACTTAACTTTTATCGTATTCTAAATCATATCAGAAAACTCTTTGAGCTAATTTAAATACTGATACTCTGTCCTGCCTAGTAAT